AGAGAGGGTTGACATGGAGGGCTTGTCCTGGAAAAGAGAAGGCTAAGTAGCTCATTGAATTACAAATTCAAGAGCTCTCATAATATGGAGCTATGGCAGTTAAAGTTGTGTCAAACTGCATCAGTTCTACAGTATGGATGCAGCCTGAATCTGCACTGCAGAAATAATAGAGTTTGACACTGCTTTAACTGCCATGGCTCCATGCTATGGACTCCTAGGATATCCAGAGCTTTCTGACAGAAAAGGCTAAATATCTCACAAAACTGCAAATCCCAGAATTCCATAGTCTTGAGTCAGGGCAATTAAAGTGGTGTCAAGCTGCTTTAATAAATTTCTGCAGTGCAGACGCTGCCAAAGTTGATGTGTTGCTTGGGCATGGCTTCTTTAACAAATAATTCTGCACAATGCGAGATAGTGTGTGTGTACCTTTGAAGATTTATCTAAAGAAGAACCAAGTTCCTTAACTTGGAGGTTCTATGTGTATGTTGTGTGCCTTCAAATTGTTCCTGACTTATGGTGATCATGGGGTTTTCATGGCAAGATTCGCTCAGAGGAGGTTTGCCATTGCCTTCCCCTGAGGCTGAGAGTGTGTGACTTGTCCAAGTTCACCCAGTGGGTTTCATGGCAGAGTGGGGAATCAAACCCAGGTCTCCAGAATGGTAGTCCAACACTCAAACCACTACACCATGCTGGCTCCTATTCCCATGTACTACTGTGAAACAACTGCAGACTTTTTTGTTGTTCTTGTGTGTCTTCAAGTCTTTCCGACTTATGACAACCCTAAAGCAACCGTATGATGGGGTTTTCTTGGCATGTTTCTTCAAATGGGGGTTGCCATTAGCATCCTCTGAGGCTGAGAGTGTGTGACATGGCCAGGGTCACTTACTTGGCCGCAAATTGTACATACCCCAGATTGCATCACCTTGTATATTGGCAGTCTTTCCCCCCAACACTTTCTTATTTCCCCCCCAACCATCTCATAGCTGGGAGAACATGGGAGCTGTAGGTTGTGGTGTTTATAAGTGACAGTTTTCCTGCTAAGTACCTGCATGTCATAAGCATTTGAATTAAAATTACCATATTGAAATAAAATCTGATGGTGTTTTTTAAAAAACAAATTATTTGTTGTGGGTTGGAAGAGGGGTAGTCTTATACGGTTTGTATATCCAAAAGCTATATTTTAACTGGAAAAGTTGGGGGCGTCATATACACCCAGTCATCTTATACACCAGAAAATACGGTACTAGCTTATATACACTATGAATGTTTTAGCTATTTCTTACGTTAAAGGAGAGAGAGCATTGTAACAAAGTTGTGCATTTTGAGTAACTCTGATTTTTATGTATACCATACTTTACATATTTTACATCTGAAAGCCTTCTGGACTCTTAGGTGATAATAGGCAGTGTCTTAAATTTCTGGCACAATGTTCCTAACTTAAAGTTGCCTGCTGCTAACAAAATTAAGGAAAAGTGAACTGGTACACAAATTGCCTTTTTTGCCAGGAGGGTTAATACTTTTAAAGATACTTTAAGGAACACTTAAACAATAAAGATAAAAATAGTATTATAATTGCTCATAGTAATGCAAAGTCTATTAAATGTTTAGAAAATGAATTCATGTATTGTCTGTTCTGCTCCTCAGAAATGGAGTTCTCACAAGGATTCCTCTTAAATAAGCAAAAACTACTTTCACATGCTAATTGATTTTTTTGTACTTTCTGAGGCTCTCCATAGACTTAAAGCTGTGCTGCTTTTTTTGTTCAAGGGGCCCTTGAAAAAGCCTTGTTTTGTTACTCTCCTGGAGTGACAGGATCCAGTTTTGTAATGAGCAGGAGTTCCCCAACACCTTCATAGTGAGAATAAAAACTCTCTTTCGTCATCTTTGCTTCAGAATGTGTTACATTAAACTCTTTAAAGAATGGCCTTGTCTTTTTATGGTACTGTTTAAGTCCACCTTCTTGTTCTATGCTTGATTTAATTTATACTCTCTGGTTTATGTCCAAATGTTGAGCACAAAGATATATGTTAATGTGATTTAACATTTGCCTGAGCAAAGCAGAGTTTTTCCTCTTAAAATCTGAAGGGGGAGAAAAACAGGCCTTGTCATGTGGTTTGTTTTAAGTTAGGTAAGATACAGTAATGAGAAACTAGATCTCTGAGCTTTAAGGAGTCTGTATATGATCTTGCTTAATGGAGGCAGCAAGCCAGAAAGAATTTAAAAATAATTTGTTCAGTAGATTTCAAAAAAAAAAAAAAGGGGGGGGTTAAAAGCCAGTTGATTAAATTGTTTAACTATTCTTGAATTTCATCTACTAGGAACTACATACAAGATTCTGAGTGTACTTTTCTTTGGATATTTATGACATATTGGAAGACAAAATTTCTGTTTATTTTTCTTCAGATACAAATTTACTGATCATGTAGACTGCTATGGTGTTGAGAGTCTTTGCACCCTGTAAGTGTAGATAATGTACAGAATGTGGGCAACTGCCTACTCATAGAAGATTCAGAGATCGGGTTTCAATTTTTATTTTTTCGTAAATCCACTGATTCATCTTTCCTGATGTGGAAATACTTGTTCAGTTAGGTTTTCATTCTATAATAACTAGCTTATTTATTTTATCATCTTGTAATCTTTTTCCTATTTTATACTAAGCAAAACTGACAAAATACTTACAGTATATAAAAACTCACATTACGCTGTTTGGATCAGTCTGACATTCTTATGCATGACATTTCTTGTCCACCAATGTTGGGCCATTTCAGGACAGTTTGAATTTAAAGCTACCAAAAGGAAAAGGTGGACTTTGGATCAGTATTGGATTATGCTCTCTGTTATTGTAAGGTGTCTTAAGGCCTTTACAGACTGCCAGAAATAATGCAGGTTTAGGCCACTTTAACTGCCCTCTCTCAGTGCTAGGGAATCAAGGGAAGTGTAGTTTATTGTGGCACCAGAGCTCTCTGACAGAGAAGGCTCAATGTCCCAGAAAAAAATACAATTCCCATGATTCCCTAGCACTGTGCCAGGACAGTTAAAGTGGTCTCAAGCTGCATTATTTCTGGCAGTCTATAGAGGCTCTTAGTATGAATGATCCAGAATAGCCCCTTAGTGGTGGCATACTGGTTCTGAAAAGCTATTTTCTGTAGCTGTTACTAGGAGATTCTTATTTGGATATATGTTTGGGAAGGAGAGGAACACACATTTGTGTATGATAAATTTTAAACCCTTATTAGCTGAAGTTTAATGAATCTGATCATTTTCTAAAGCATTAATTGCAGAAAAACAGAGTGTGTATAAAAATTCAAGCTTAATAGTTGTTATATAGGCTGTGGAGAGAAAACATTGGCTTAGAGGCCTGTAATCATAGTTTTCTTTTGCTGTTAAATTTTGGTCAAATAATATGAGATTGTATAATTCAGTTAGCAGTAAAGAGAGTATTTCAACACACAGTGGCCACATTTGCATATCACTTGAAGCCATGATTTTGTTGGTTGTAATACGTTATGATATGTAAACCCACCTATACTAACAAGTTTTGTTGTTGGCCTGTGACCACAGGTTTATTTAAAGATAAAGGCATTTTGTGTTGACTAAGGGCCTTTACAGACTGCCAGAAATAATGAAATGAGGCCATTTTAACTGTCCTGGCTCGGTGCTAAGGAATCATGGGAACTGTAGTTTATTGTGGCACCAGAGCTCTCTGACAAAGAAGGCTCAATGTCTCAGAAAAAAAAAAATACAATTCCCGTGATTCCCTACCACTGAGGCAGGACAGTTAAAGTGGCCTTAAGCTGCATTATTTCTGGCAGTCTGTAAAGGCCCAAAGTTGTCAAGTCATGTCCGACCATAGCTCATCTCTGTTACTATGCTGAAGAGCCAGCATTGTCAGAGATTACTCTGTGATCATGTGGCAAGCATGATTGCACAGAATGCTGTTTACCTTCCCACTGCTTGCATTTTTATCTGCTTGCATTTGCATGCTTTTGAACTGCTAAGTTGACAGAAACTGGGACTAGTGATGGGAACTCACCCCATTTAACTGCCAACCTATTGCAGTCAACAGAGTCAGCGTCTTAACCACATGGGCCATCACATCCCTGGTTTGTTTACACCAGACCTAAAAACTTGTTGAAACATGGCCATGACTTATTCCCTCAGTTCCTCACCTTGAAATAGAATTGACAAAAGTGTGGTAGAGAAATACACTAGAAATCAGTCAGAGGAAGGTACACCATTGGTTTTCTTCTGGCATCATAGCTTTAGCAACAAACCATAGTTAACAGAAATCATGATTTATTGTGATGTGCAAGCATACCCATTCAGTTGGATAATACCATACATTTCTATGGGTCCTCTCTTAAGTATAAATACAGTAAGTCTCAAACTTGAATCTATCAAATTTGTAGGTAGGACTGAAACAACACACTTTTCTTGGGCATAGAAGATTTTAAAGGTGTGTTATTAAGTTTAAGTGATCTGTACCTACATTTTTGGCTATTATTTGTGCTGGCCCCTGATCATGTCCAGAGAGAGCTCTAGACCCTCTCTGAAGCAAACCTGAAATTTCTCAGGTGTGAGAAAGGATCAAGAGATGAGAATTTTGAGCACCATCTTGCTAGCATGGAATTCAATGCAGTAGCCCTGTGATTATTGCAAAGTGTGGTGTCTTCTTTCTTTGTGATTGGAATGTACATTAAAATTTCCAGTCTGTTTTCCATATTTGTTGACAGATTTAGTTAGAACTAGAGTAGATTATTGTAAGGGATCTTGTAGCACCTTTGAGATTAAAAGAAAGGAAGAACTTGGTAGCATGAGTTTTCATAGACTTGAGTGTGCTTTTTCAGATGCCTAGAAGTAGGCTCAAGTCTAAAAAAGCTCATGCTACCAACTTCTTTCTTTCAGTTAGTCTCAAAGGTGCTATAAGATCCTTTTGCTTACTGATTTTCCAGACTAACACGGCTATGTTTTTGGATTATAGTAGATTAGATTATGTCTCTGTAGATTTGGCATAGTGGTTTGAGTTCTGGACTGCAACTCTGGAGACCAGGGTTCAATTCCTAGCTTTGCCATGAAACCTACTAGGTGACTTTGGGCATGTCATAGCCTCAGAGAAAGGTAAAGGCAAACCCTCTCTGAACAAATCTTGCCAAGAAAATCCCATGATAGGTATCCCTTAGTCACCATACATTGGAAACAACTTGAAGGCACACAACAGCAACAACAAAGATTGAAGCAGCTCTATTGGTATGTCATCTGTTCCTGCTGATCTATTTCTTCCAACTCTTCTGGGTGCTGCATCTACTTCACTTTCTAAAATTGGAGGCTCATCTCGATATGATTCTTTCTTAAATGAATCTGCCACACTTTCATTTATTTGTCTATAGTTCTTCTGTGTATTTTTTCCATTGTCTTTTTATTTCTGCTTTATCATATAATGTGTTCCCCTGCTTGTCATAAAGCATCTCTACTCTTGGTTTAAATTTCCCTTGCTTTCTCATATCTGAGGTTTTTTGTTCATTTGTGTTGTCACTTTTTTCTCTGTATTGATTATTATTGTAGTTCTCCTTGTCCCTGTGCACAAGTTGTTGAACAGTTACATTCAGGGTTCTCACTCTTATTTGCTTGCTGGAGAGGTTTTTAAAAAGGGGATTTCGGTTATTTCTGGAGCAAGAAGAAGAAAAAGGATATGGTAGAGGCACTATGTATAGAAGGTGGTGAAATGCTAAGAGTGGATAAAAAGGAGACAACTTATCAACATAGGTATACCTCAGTTAACAAGGTCTCTGACAAAAAAGTTTCTATTTACAAAAAAAAAACCCAAAAAAATGCTAACCTAGCCTGTCCTCTTTTTTTGCCTTGTCCTCTTTTTTGCCTTGTCCTCTATCTAGCTGCCTCTAGAATCATTTACTGAACATGAATGAATAGCAAAACAGAAAGAAAAGGGGAAAGTGAATTTGTCTGCTTTACCAGCATGTTTGAAAAGCTTAGATCTATGAGTTTGGCCATGTAAATGGAAACTATAAGAAAAGTGGAGGTTGATGAAAGAAGAAGCAATCCCTGGATGCATTTTGATATGTAAAAAGTTCCAGGTGTTTTTGTTAACTTATGCAAGGCTTACTGTATATACTTCTGTATACGTTGATCTTGTGTATAAACTGAGGGCAGATTTGGGGGCCAAAAGTTTGGATTTTTGATATGACCCATGAATACAATGCCAAAGAACCTACAAAATTCCAGCAGGCACAGCTATTTGTGTTAATCCTAAAGGTTAGATGGATGAAGTAAATGTATGGTAAATGGTGGCTGTATGATGTGTGGGGAAAGCAGCCAGGAGCAGGCAGGGCTAAGACAATGTGCATATGTCAAAAAAGATGTAAAAACAAAGCAAAGAAAGTGGTGACTACATTAGCATTGATTACAACCATTAACTTTAATGTGATAACATTGCCTAGTTTTAACCCATAAAAGTTGCTAAACATATACAAATGTTGTATTCAAATCCTTCAAAGTATTTGCCTCTAGAGTTTCACCAGCATAAACTCTTGAGGTGATGGAACATGCAACATGGCTTGCACTCTGCAGAAAACCACGTTACGTGTCCCACCATCTTAAGAGTTTAGGTTAGTGAGTACATAAGTCTTTCTCTTTAACAGCACTCCCAAAGAGCATCAGGCTGGCTTCAATGTTACTGAGCTTCTGATGGACAGTCAAGACTACTGTTCTCTATCTTTGATGATAAACAAATATTTTTATTGAAAAATAAATAGTAAAATTGAATCAATTATTATTGAATCAGTTATTAGGATTTGGTTGAGAAAATATTTGCTGTCAGAAGACAAAAGCATGTGATAAAGAATGTGACTGAGTCAGAAGAAACTGGTTTAGCCATCTGTAAATCATGCTGGGAATTTTTGCCAGTGTCTGTTGTATTCTAACATGGAGTGAATATCTTAATGGGATCAGCATGATCGAACAGACATGGAGAAATTGTAATCATAAGGCATAGGTTCAAGGTTGCCCTAGCTGTCAAAAGTGTTTTTAAAACATTGACCATTTGGATTTGTGCATGGTGTTACAAATGTCACTTTGCATAGTTGAAAAGCTTATGTTTTCGCTGTCTCTTTAAAATTGCTGGAATCACTTTTGTCTACAACCTCAAGGAGCTGATAACATTGACTGAAGTGCCAGCTTGATTTACGAATATCGATTTTGAAATTTTTACTGACACTAAATATTTGTTTTCTTCCCTCTTAAATATGAACAGCTGTAATCTTATTTCTTGTATTGAAGGTTGACATTGCCTGTAGCTTAGTTATCCATTGCTTTTTTTCTTTTTTAAATATTTTAGGTATTGATGCAGAACTTTATTATGTGAGGAATGATATGATCAATCATTACGCTTTGTCCTTTAATCTACTTGTACCTGTAGAGACAAACAGCCTCCATTTCAGTTGGCATGCTAAGGCAAAGGTAAGCAAAGTGTGTGGAAGAGAGAAGGGGATTCTTCTAAGTTCCAAACTCAGAACTCTAGGAAAGAGCAGTGAGTGTATGCTGGGCATCAGAGGGCAGTGGGCGGCCAGTGCATCTTGCAAAGGCTCACACCTTCTCACTCCAAACGAGAGCTAGGGACACAAGGAGTTCTGGAATTAGGCAGCTAAGGTACACTGAACATCATTGTCATGCAATGCTCAAACTGTGAAATCCAGCCCTTTCTTCCACAACAGAGGCTCATTTCAAACAGTTCAGATGTCTGTCAAACTGGATCCCAGCCCTGTGTGCTTCTTTCTTTTTCCCCATGTTCAGATTTTCTTCCTCATTGTGATTAACTGTAGTTTTCCCAGTTTGAACATCTGTGAACCATAATTTGTTTCCAAATCAGAAATGGAAGCCATTACCACATCAAGGATATTAATTACATTAATGTGCACAAAACTTCAAAGAGTAGTTGCTCAAGATTTTAGAGGATACCTGCTTTTAGTTTAAATATTTTGTTGCGATTCAGACATTGATAATTTGGCATCCAGCTTAATAAAATGTAATTAAATATTCAGTATTTTGAATGTGGTTGTCTGTGTTTTTTGTTTGTTTGTCTTTAGCCAGAAAGTGACCTTTGCATCTCTGCCCCCAGCATATTCCTATATCCTAGTATTGGCATAGTTCACACCCACTCTGTTTTTCATTTAGACCCACCCACCCAAATACACAAATATTTCCATGGTTGGGATGTATGTATATACTTATCACAAGTGATAATAAACAACTGTCTGGTGTAGTCTTTAAATTTTACCCTAAGATTATTCAGTTTGGCACTTATCATGTTTTAAATCACAAAGGGCCTTTGCAGACTGCTAGCAATAGTGTAAATTGAGTCCACTTTTAGGGTTAGGGTTAGGGAATCATGGGAACTGTATTTTATTGTTGCACCAGAGCTCTCTGACAGAGAAGGCTCAATATCTCAGAAAAAAACCCAATTCCCATGACTCCCTGGCACTAACCCTAACTCTAAAAGTGGACTCAATTTGTACTATTTCTGGCAATCTGCAACCCCCTACAGTTACCAATTCATCATAGAAAATAATGCAGAAGCAATGTGACTATATAACCTTTTATTGAGCATATTTTCATTTTTTTCATTTGTTCCTTTTGCATCTCATTACAGATTGAATATAAACTGGGGTTTCAGGTTGATAATCTTTTGGCTATGGATTTGCCACAAACAAATATTTCTGACCAAGGGGAAGTCCCTCGCACTCTATCTGGTAATTAATCTTCTATTTGATAAGCATATAGCCTTACTTTGAGTAAAATACATATATATATACTTGGTTCAGTATCCTGGATGGTCATCATGTTGGGATAAAGAGGAGGAGAGAGAAGTAGCCAGAATTTTTCATATGGGTTGGAGGATCTATAATCTTAGCAGTTTAGTGGGGAACTTTCCCTGTAGAGGCTCCCACACATGAATTTATGAGAAAAGACTGTACCTATCATGAGCTAAATAACTTAAACACCAAGAAAACTTGAGTTCTGCACATGTTAACTACCATTGTTTTGTACATCTCATTCTACTTCTGCTGATCAGGGAGCAATGCCACCTGGCCTTGATATAGAAAGGCAAGGCAACCTGGCCTTCATATAGTATTTGACCACCTGTTGTTCCTGTCTTAGGAAACAAATCCTTCTTCTAGTACTACATTCTGCACTCTTCTTGTGCTTCACAGAAAGGAACAATATGCATGGTTCTGGTTGTAAACCTGGCAATAAGCACGCTGTTCAAATACACGCTTTTTATTGTTGAACTGATCATTTGTGCCATTTGCTTATATCATCCAGATAGCTCAGTATGCTGGACTGCATTACTGTGTTCAAATATAGGTTCCTGGACTTCTTTGTTGCAGCTTACATTATTTTTTTTTAATAAATTACATTTTTATTGAATTATTTTAACACATGTACTTACATTGTTACACATGCCCCCCCTCCCCCACAGCTTATTAGAGACTGGAATCAATACACTTTTTACAATTAAAAACCTACTGTCAATATGTGGGATATGGATTTAATTATATTATTGACTTCGTTGTACTCTGTATTCCCTTTGTCCTTCTCAAGCAGAATTTCCCAATCCAAATTCCAAGCTTCTTCCCTCCTTTCTCCAGTATATTTTAATCTTCTGTCTCTAATAATACCAAACAACAAGTTGTCTGCCAAATATGTTGCAGCTTACATTATAATTATTTTCCTGTTTGTCTGATTCTTCGCTTTTTGATTTATTAATCGTTGCTTGTCATCTTAACTTCATTATGTTCTGCCTTCTACTATACACAAAGTAGAAAGCACTTCTTGGGGAGTGGTGTAGTTCCAGTCACCATCAGCTCTTTGTGCTTCATGAAGTGCTTCTGCATAAAGTTTCTGTCCTTGGACTTTGGGGTGATAACAAAAGCTGCTGCTGCTGCTAAAAGGAGGAGCAGAGAAGTCTTTTAATGTAAGCAGTCACTACTCGGTCATTTCTCAGTACAGCAGTGAACACTGGGTGATCTTCATTTCTATTCTTTGCCACAGAATTCAA